CAAATTTATTTTATATATAAAATGATTAAATTATAGTAAACTTTCGAATTAATCAAATTACAAGAAAGTTTTAATTTTGATTTAATAATCATATTATGTAACAAGAAATATTCAACCATGATTCATAATCAATGACTTCTATTTGTATTCAAACTATAGATACACGCATATATACATATATTTAGGATCACATAAGACCCGTCTATTTTTGTGAGACCCAACTTCACAGTAAAATGCTGTGAAGGTAGCCTTCATAGTGTTTTTACCGTAAAGGTTCACTTTTTTACTTTCACAGCGTTTTGCTATGAAGTTTCAAGTCAAGTGGTCTAATGAAAACAAGCTAGTCTCACGTGAACCCAACCTTTTATATATATATATATATATATATATATATATTATATGCATGTTAATGTTTAGAAAACATACATGTTAAATAATGGAATCTGGATATGATATGGATCCAACGAGGGGCGGATGTAGCATACAAATGGTGGGGGATGGGCCCTTAAAAAAGAATTCTTAATTACTTAGGTTAAAAAAAAATTTCCTTTAACTTTCTACCAATCTCTCGAGTAATTTCCGGCATGTGCTCCCACCAACCAAAAAATTATTTTGAAATCAACAAAAAAAAACCAAAAAAGTATCTCAAAATCAACAACAAAAACAGAAAAAGTCATTCGAAATCGACAAAAAAACTTAAAAATATCTCGAAATCAGCCAAAAAACTTTAAAAATCCCTTGAAAAAATGGAATTAGGTTAACACACCGACAACTTTGTAGACCTTTAATTTACCTTAAAGGTGCCCCACTAGGTAAAAATCCTGGATCCGCCACTGGATCCAGCCTGAACTCCAGCCGCCCTATTCCTCAAGCACAACGTCAACAAAAGTCAACCCAACATGTATGACCTATTGGCCATTGCCATACAAGTCCCGACTCCAACTCCCCCAACCTAGATCCATGGACTCCTTTTGCGCTAAACCTGCATCTAGACCCGGGTTTCAACCCTCAACACAATACAACGGTATATGATTGGTGATTTTGCTTACACTATTAGTCGATGCCTTTAACGTTTGATAATTGCCCTCCCGGGATGGTTGAGAGCATTTTGGTCATTTTACAATGCTTTGTAGAATCAAATTTAATGTACAAATACGTAAAGCTTGTGTACAAGCACTTACAACCTATGGCTACCCCTCCCTTCCCCTTTAACCTTATACCTGCACAACTTTACTGAACCCGTCTTCTCCCATGAGCCCTACCATTTCTTCGACACTCTTTGCTTCATCAACAAAACCTAACCAAAAACTCAACTACCGTCGACCAGCCAATAGTGTGGCTACATCCACAAAATTAACCAACTGCAAATTATCAAACCCACAAATTAAAATAACAAATTAATCTTGTACATATCTTCATATACAGATAAATAAACGAACATGAATAAATATTAAAAAAAAAAACTGGTCTATATTTATACTGTATTATAAAGCATTTAAGACAAACTCTTAAAAATCGTTTTCAAGTACTCTTAATAATGCATATTACTTAAAATTTAAAATTACAAGTAAATGATATATGAGTATAATTTTTTAAAGCTGTATGTTTGAATTCATATAACTAACTGATAAATATAATTAAATACATGATAAACTTTTTTTTTAAATTTGAAGAATTTAGAATATAATTAAGACAATCATTGAATTCTAATAGAATGATGAATTATCATCTTTATAAAAAATATTATATTATTAAACTTAAAATAAATTACTTTCTTATTAAACCTAAAATAAATTTTAATACAAATTTAACTAAAAAAAATTATTAAAAAAATAACTTTTAAATTGTTAATTTGATATAATATCGAGTTGTATCGCTACATTAGACGAGTATGCTTCCAGTAATTAACAAACATATGAATAGAAATTTTAACAATAATTTAGGGACAATCTAGTCATTTTAAATGTTTTGCCATGTTATGTTCTGGTCGTATCAAACACATGATAGACAATTAGTTATATTATATCCTAACTAGTATGTATACCAAACGTTACCTTCAAGGTTACCAATTATGTAACAAAATTGCAAGTTGTAACCCCCTTAGACCAAAGTGTAAAGAATGTCCAAAAGAAGGACTATATGTGCCAAGTTGCAAAAAAGACGTCCAAAAGCTGAAAAAGAAAGAATGAAAAAAAAAAATATTGTAATTACACTTTTGTCCCTGTAGTTTGTTAAAATCATGATTTTTTTCTCTATAATTTAGAAATAATTATTTTTATTTTTATTATTTGCAATTTCTTGTTATTTTCGTCTTTGAAACTAGCTTTTACCTTAAACTACAAGGGATGAAAAAAAAAACAAAGAATTATAAACCACAAAGATAAAAACAACAATAAATTATAAAAACGAAAATAACAATGAACTAGAAATTATAGAGATAGAAAATTATAGTTTATAAATTATAAGGATAAAAATCGTAAATTCTTACGAACCATAGGGACTAAAATCGTAATTTACTCAATAGAGAAAGAACAGTTCCAAGACTCGTTACTATTTAACCATCCGGTTGATTACCACTAAACACATCAAAAACTTTCTTAAATCACCATTTAGAACACGAGTTGACTCTGAGTTCTCCAATATCCATCCATCAATGGCGTCCTTCAACCACTCACTACTCATCGCTTTGATCTCAATCTACCTCTCCGCCACCGCCACCGCCATCGCCACCATATCAGGCTCAGACATCCACGATATCCTCCCAGAATTCGGCCTACCAAAAGGCATCCTCCCTGACGCAGTCGAATCCTACACACTCTCCCCCTCCGATGGCGCCTTCACCGTCCAGCTCACACGTCCTTGCTATGTTCAATTCGACGATCAGACAGTCTACTATAGCAAGAACATCCAAGGCAAGTTGACTTACGGCTCGGTCTCCGATGTCTCTGGTATTCAAGCCAAGCAATTCTTCTTGTGGCTAAGTGTTACCGGTATGGATCTGGATACTAGTTCAAATATGATCGAGTTTCATGTTGGAGTTTTGTCCAAAAAATTGCCTGCTGATATGTTCTTGGTGGTGCCTGATTGTAAGAGCAAAGCTTGCCAACACAAAGTTCAGTCCCAATCGATTTAAATCGAAAGGTATTTCTACCTTATTATGGAGTTAATTTGACTAAATTATTGTGCGTATGAGGAAAATTTTGATTTATTGAAGAGAAATTCTGGGATTTTGCTTGATATCATACCCCTAGGTTAGGTAGATACATCTTGACTTTGACAAATAAGATGGATTACTTGAATCATGACAGATTTGAAGCACGATCTTTAAAAAATATATTTTTATTTTAATAAGTTAGACTATTATAATCATCTCGTTAATACATTCGAAATTAGTCCAATATTGAATAGTTTTTTACTTAATTATATTATTATATATTATATATATTGTGAAAAAATATTTTTAATATTTACGATTTATAATTTTATAGTTATTTATTTATATATATACTATATATTTTGGGGTTGAGCTGTCCAAATTGCATTGTATAATACATTCTGAATTAATATGTTCTTGTGTTTTTTTGAAATATATATATACATGTATTAATTCAACCTTAATCTGAGTTTCTGGACAAGAAAGAGGGTAAACAGTTAGAATTTCATTTTAAAACCCATCTTTTTTGGTCTTTTCATGGCTTATGATCTATCAAATTTGTAGTTTTCTTTATTGGTTTTGAGTGTTTATCTTAAAACTCAAGTTTCTTGGTTCTTTGCTCTTGGTGTAAATCGAACACATTTGTGGAGTCGTTTAAATATGTTAGATTTTAAATATATTGGATTTTAAACTGTTATACAATTTTTTTCATCGATAGTCTGTAATTGGAACCATAACTCTTATTTATTCAAATTGTATTAATATGTAAAGACCAAGTGTAACCTATATCATCATTAAATCTTATCTTATAAAACCAGTGGAACTTCAAAATCGTTAAAATTGATAGCTCCCGTCGCATTGCGCGGATACACAACTAGTTCATAGTATAATATAATATGTGTTCTGTTTTGATATACCTTTGACTTACAAGAAGGTAGGATTCAATCATAAATTAAGTATCAATCATATATTTCTTTCACTAACTAAAGGCCTTTGATGATATCTGGTTCATGATTTATATTGCAGGTTTAAATCACACTTCATTCAATGATACCATTTACTTTTTTATGCTTAGAAGTCAAGAAATCTTCTCCCAATCCCAAGTGTAATCTCTGTAAATGTGATGTTCTTATGGTGTCCCTTTTGGATAAATAAATACTTTTCATTTATTTTCAAATTTTATGATGCTTTAACATATTTATGCTTAAATTAACATTATATACTTATATAACCAAGCAATTCGTATGGAAATTTCATTTAATTATTAGTTAAAAACCCTTTTCTGAATTTATTTAACAACTTTTTAGAAATTATAAAAAAACATGATTCCAATATAACCTATAATATACAAAAATGAAATACAATATTTACATGATTTAACAATTTGTGTATAGAATTCCATATGAATTCTTGAATTATGATCAAAATACGATGCATAAAAAAGTTAAAAGAGGAAAAAATTGAAACTAGAATCAGGGTGTGTTTTTATATATTTTTGATTAAATATAGGATATCTGATTTAGAAAGATACTGATTAAAAGTTGTTGTTAACCAAATGTTATATATTATCTGTTTTATAAAAAGATATAAATGTATAACTAAGTATTATATAAATGTATAATAAAATGTATTTGAAAAATAATAATGGAAAAGTCTAAAAAAATCCAATGAACTTTAGTGTTTGGAATGATTAAGTCATTGGACAATTTTTTGGAATAAATAAGTTCTTGGACATTCAAAAACATATTAAATAACTCATTGAACTTTCTAAAACATGTTAGATACATCCTTATGACCTATACAACTGGTTAATGTGGTAAAATAATGGAAAAAGTCTGGAAAGAAAACCAATGGACATTTATTTTTTAAACAATTAAGTCTCTAAACATTTTTTAAACCAAAAGAGTAATTAGATCTATAAAATGAAACAAATATACCAAAAAGTACTTACATTTACAAAAAAATACTTATATTTAAAAAAGATTTTTGATAAAATTTATTTTTATAAAAATTTAAATATATTTTGTCAGTGATTTTTCAAATTAAAAAAAAATTAAAATATTATTATTATTAAATTTATTTTAATTAAAAAAAATATATCTTGTATGTGATTTTTTAAATTAAAAAAAATTTAAAAGAATTACTGATAAAATTTATTTTAATAAAAAATAATATATTTTTATTTTTAATTAAAATATATTTTTATCAATAATCTTTTTAAATATAAGTACTTTTTTGATATATTTATTTCATTTTATATATGTAAGTACTTTTTTGGTTAAAAATTGTTTAAAGACTTAATCACTCAAAATATAAAAGTTCATTGTTTTTTTCAGGTTTTTTACATTATTTTATCACATTAATCGGTTTTATAGGTTATAAGAATGTATCTAACATGTTTTGGAACGTTCAAGTATTTATTTGTTCCAAAAAAAATGTCTAAGAACTTAATCATTCCAAACACTAAAGTCCATTGGGTTTTTTAGACTTTTCCCAAATAATAATTATAGCAAATATGCTAAAAGGCACTCATGAACCAACCAGGTTAGTCTATTATGTGGTATTTCATAAATGAATTAATGTACTTTATATATACGTTTTAGATAAAGTTATTTAATTGAGTAACTAATTCAAACTGACACGTCAAGCTTATATGAATCAATGTTCAAGTAACTTATGTGTAGGTGATCCTACTAAAAACCCCAAATTCCATCTGCCTTTTGCACCGTCGATAATCAAACTTATAAAATCCCATAAAATATTGCAAGAATCCATCAACAACTACAACTAAAGAATCACAAAGTCTGAATTTCTATACCCCACAATGATTTCTTGAAACCTAAACTTTCCCAATACGACAATGGCTCCAGATTTGTTCATAAAACTACAATAACTTGGTAAATATCGGTTGAAAAAATGTTACCAAATCATCATGTTTCTAAACCCGTTACTAGCAACTTTGTTAAATATCACAAAAATTGTTATTTTTTAATATGAAATATGAAAACATGTAAATACACATCCTCGTTAAACACACACCCATAAATAGATAACAAATTTGTTACATATCCTTTGGTTAATCACTCGACTTCTAAAATTAGCTTCATTCAAGCATTTGCATAAAAGAAAACAGATTTCATCAAAAGAAACATACTTTAATCTGAAAAGAAACAATGTCTTATCTGATAATGGATAAATATAAAACAAGGTTTAACAAAAAAAAAAGGTATTTTGATGATGCTTTACAACAATAGGTTGTGTATATTCACTCTTTCTTGTCCGATAACGGGTGTAAATGTTATAAAATGTAGTTTTATATGCATATAATTTCCGTTTTATGCATCTTTTTTCGTTGTTTTTACATACAAAAAATTACAGTCTTCCAAGCAAATATCTTTGTATTGACACGTCATATGGTTTTAATGAATATATTTAGAAATGGCAGGTCTAGTTGATCGATCGATATACATTGAAGCTATACATGTTGGAAAAATAGAAAAATAATGAATAAAAAAATCGGAGTCAGACGTTGGCTAAACTTATGAGTACTTCTTTTTGTAAACCTTCATGGCATTACACCCACATCGTTAAAAATTTCTCATCGTCCACTCATTAACGATTCATCATTAGTTATTAATAAGACGTAAAAGAACAAGTCAAATCTTAAAAATATTACAATATATCGTTAAACATAATATGTAAAATCATAAGAAGTATCATGTAACTAAAACATAGTAATCTGTTGTAATAAGAGATATACCGTAAAAGATAATATTTGAATATGTGTTTGTTGCCTTTGGACATGACACGTAACTCAGTTGAAAAATAGGTGGAACAATTTTGCTCAAATACATGACAGGTTTAAATTCAAATCACGTGGGAGGTGAGCTTGAACTCCCTTCATATGTTTATTCAACTTCAAAATGCCTTCTTACGCGTAGTTTCTAAAAAACAGTTACATACCAATTATAATATTAATCAGTAAAAAAGTTGAATTGATAAACGGTTAGAGCATTTTCATCAGTTTCTCTATAATTTCTCTAAAAATAAAGAATAAAAGTCAAAATCTCTAAAAGAAATTACAGTTAACTCTAACAAATTCTTTATTTTAGAGATTTTATAATTAATTATGTTATTTAAAATATTCTATACTCCGAATACACTTTCTTTTAAAAATAATATATAAAATGATATTAATTCAACTCTCATTCGTGAGAAGAATAAAAAACTCATTTCTCTCTCTTCTTTTTGGATTTTTAGAGAATTTTTTATATTTAGAGTTTTTTTCATGATTTTTATTTGAAGTATATAATATTTATACACAACAAATACAACAAATAAACTCACACACTTTCCTCACCTGTGGTGAGGTTTGAACCCTAGATCTTCTAGGAGACCAAAAGCTATGATACCGCTAGGCTAAAAGCCATTTGGTTCCATTATTCTTTTATAGAGAATGAGATAGGGAAATTGTTGGAGAATTAAAAATTAAAAGTTGATTTTTCTCTATTATAAAAAAGCCGTTGGAGATGCAGTTACCAACATAATGTTCAGTAAATCGCTTAAACATATATTATGAGATGCTGTTACTAAGGATGGTGATTTGCCCCGACCTACTGAGTAACCCGGCTCACCCGATCCAAACGAGGATGGGATTCCCCACTAAAATGGGTCCCATGTCCGGGATCCCGGTAGACTCAAATTAATGATTATTTTGAATGAGGACGAAATGTTAATCCCCGTACCCGTCAGGACCGAAGGACTGTTACTAAAAACCGAGCTCTTACCAACATAAATCTATATTATATTATAAAGCATTTGACAAAAACTTTTAAAAACCA